AAACAAGCTTTAGGAGAGATAGATAAAAGACGAAATTTATTGTGCTACACAGGAAACTGTGAAGAGCCTTGATCGCCGACGTCCTGAAGGGACACGGCATAAAGAAGAAGAAGAAGAAGATTAACAAGATATTTAATTTTAAACCTTGAAAAATCGAATGAAAAGGAAGAATTTCAAGTTATTTCGGAAAGCTATAAAATTTTTAAGCTCAAATAATTTAATTCAAAAGTTGTCCCTTGCAAGAAAAATCTCATTAAATTTGATAGATTTTTAAAACTATCATTTTTATTACCTTAAAAGCACAAAAGGTTTTGTAAAAAATGTCAAAAAAAAGAATTATTTTAGGAGACGAACAGGAATACGGAGTTTAAGCAAATTTAAGTGCCTATAAAACGGAAAAGAGTGTTTTGAGAGCCAATAGCGTCTCCAGATCCCACTTGAATGTCATTGAATATTTAAAAACTTTCTGAAAAATAATTTTCAGCGCCATCTTTATTCATAGTTATTAACAGATATCTAATCCGCTGTTTACTATGGACAGTTAACTAACAAATTTATCGCTGTTGTTATTAATAAAAGGCGCCAGTCGATACGTCGGCCGGATGTTAATTCCTATTAAAGTATTCACTAAGTATAGCCTTGTTTGGCATAAGGTCATTCAATTTAATAGTGCATTTGTGCGTCAGAAAAGATTCATGAGCAAGTGACCATGTACTTAATATATATAAAATTACATTTTATGAAATAGACAAAGTCTGACAATTATTTTTAAGACATTTTTTTATGTTTATACATTCTTTTTATAAATACAAATATTTAAGTAAATGCTCTGTTTATAATAAACAGTATTAACAACATTTACCGGCCTGAATGTCCGAGAAATTTTCATAGAAAATATGCGTCCTCCGACAGGAATCGAACCAGTATCCTATACGAAACTGTCATTAACCGCCTGACGTGCTTTTACCGATTTCGCCACAGAGGAACATTTTGGTTAACAAGGTCGATTTTACTGTTTTTAAACTACAATTCTCCATGATTTTCTCTCATACATTCATATCTGCTCGATGCGTAGCCAGATGTAAACAAATGACGTTACACATTATGAATGTCCGGGAAATTTCATGTGTGATAATTATTTATATTTATAATGAAAAGTTATTTTTTATTTTAAAAAATCTTAAAATGTTATTCTTTTTGCAATAACTACCAATATTTACATGACTAAATTTTACTCGAAAAAATGTTTAAGTCGCAATTTTTTACATTTCCATAAAGATTAATCACCGACGCATCTCTGCTGAAAAAAAAAGTTTTACAAAGATTCCAACACAACACAAACGGGATTGTCTTAAAAATTTATTTTAAAACCGGTATTTCAGTTTTCAGGAAATTTTTTTGTATGCTGAAATCTTATGAAGACATTAATTTTTTAAGCGATCATTTTCTCGTTTTTATCTTTCTAGAAATGTAAAAAATAGGGAGTAGAAATTTTATTTTAATTACTAGCCGTGTATTTCTGGTTAGTATTATTAGTAGTAAAAAAAAATCATTCGAAAGTACTCGGGGAGTGCAAAAAATAAAAATGAACTTTGGCAAATTTAACGATTATATAAAACAACTGCTTCGGAAATTTGAAAAAGTTAATAAAAAATTGGATAGACAGCACTTGCCGATATTATTCAACAAATCTTGTCTTAAAGAATACTTGCTGGCCAAATACACATTATATATATATATATATATAGGTAATAATCCGTTGGTATATAATCCAAGTGAATAGTATCAAATATAAAACTGATCCACAAAGAGAACTCAATGTATTTATTATAACAGAGCATATATAAATAAATAAATTACATAGAAAAGAAATTCAAAATTACACCATTTGAATAGCTATTTCACCCTACAAGATCTTACTTTTGAGCATTATCAACATGTGTTGATATATATATATATATATATACGTCTGAGTGTGTGTGCAGAAAATAAGGACAGTAGAATTTACGTATAGATTAGCGTTTCTAAGTATCACTGCACTCCTTGGCTTTCTTCCGAGAATCGGTGTAATATTTCGTTAGAAAAAAAGAAAAGGGTACTGAACTGTTATGTAATATCAATGGATGGCAGAACAGGATTTAGGAGAGATATCAAAAAGATAAAAATTTATTAAGAGCTACAGAGGACAGGAAATTGTGAAGAGACATGATCGCCAACGTTCTGAAGTCGCATTTGCTAGTGTATCAAAGTAGAGTTTCATAGCCCTTTGCCGAGTCAAAATTGTTGCAACTGTGTGCTTTGCTTGCAATTAAAATGTCGGTCTCCTGCTTTTCTACCGAGGATCACTGTAGTCTCTGTGTATGTTCTGTAAAAAGTGATTCCAATTTTTCTCTCAGCTAGCCTTCTCTGCTATGATGTCATCAAGATGGCTCTCAAATTATTCAATCTGGTCGCATTTAATTAAACATAACTTCACATATGTGTGTATATATATGTATGCACACACACACACACACACACACACACACACACATATATATATATATATATATATATATAAGTGGGCATGCAAGTATACAAAAAAGAGTCTGATATATGTACATGTCTGGGTGTTTGTGTATGCATGTACACATATATGCAAGTAAAAACACACACACACACACACACACACACACACACACACACACACATATATATATATATATATATATATATACACGTGTCTGGGAGTGTATATGTATACATATATGCAAGTAAATATATATATATATATATATATATATATATATATATATATATATATATATATATATATATATATAAACACTCTTCAGTTTCGATGATCTGATTTAAAAATTCATTAACACCCAAGAGCATCTGATATAGATAAGACAAACAAACAACAGGCGGACAGACATTCTCTTGAATTGTAGACATTGGATGTGATAAGGAATCTAATTTAATTTAATTTATGTTTACTACTTATTCTCAGAGATCTCAAGGCATTTTCTCTCACGGACAGTTTTGTTTTTCTTTCATTCTAACCCGAGGAAGCCAAAAAGAGCGTTAGTGGTGGAGTATTGTTTTTTTTTATTCTTAAATTGCATGACCCGTCAGCCAACAAGGAACGTAGCACAACATTCAGAAAAAAAACTTTGTTTTATAAAAAAATAAACACCTAGCCGCTGTACTTTAGTCGTTTTTAACGAAACTTATATATATATATATATATATGTGTGTGTGTGTGTGTGTGTGTGTGTGGCCTGACAATTGCGTTTAGCATGAAAGAGAGTTTCGCCTCTATATGTTGACTTCAATATCAACCTCTATATTTACATACGCTCTAGCGCTGATATTGAGCACTTTAACCTATAAATATTGCATACCTTAAAAGCTATATTTTATCATATATATATATATATATATATATATATAATAGTTTTTTTAATTTACTTAAACATAAAAAATGTCGATATCTGTCTATATTTCTTAGATGAGGTATTGTAATTATTTACACTTTTTACATTATTCGGGCTGTTGTCCTCATCTTCGTTGTCATATTCACGATGCTTCGGCCGTTGTATCCTCCGGCCTTCTTCAGGTGATTGAAATTTCGAACTGAACCCTTCACGTGGATGAAATAAAGAGTTCAGTTCTAAATTCTCGTTACCTGAAGGAGCCTGGAGCCTACAACGGCCGGAACGTCGTGAATATGGCAACGATGATGAGGATAACAGTCCGAACAATGTAAAAAAATCGTTATTATCATTCACGAAGTGTACAGTTAAATCTTAATCTATTCGAATAAGTAAATATTCATTAAAGAAATGATTACCATAAACAATCTTCCTTTTTCCTAAAGATCCAGAAAATATAAAATAATATGATTGGGTTTAGAACAATTTTAAGAATAATTTTAACGAAATTCTCCGTTATCGTCGGAATTGTTAGAAATGAATGGTTATGCAAATATTTTCATGTAAGAACAGGGGCAGGTTTATTTGTGAATAAGTTTCAGAGGATCTTAGTAATATTTATCGGAAGCATCGGAATAAATGAATAGAATCAAAGATATAAACAAATAATATATGTTTATTTAACTGACTTCGATTGGAGCGAGTCCTTTGTAAATCGAGTTGGCAAAATTTCGTTCAGCTGAGTAACTACTAGTTTACGAGTCAGACTTTGATAGCAATCGTCATTTTTTTGGGTAGCTGTAGGGAGTATGGTTGCTTTAGAAATATGTTACGAACGCCAATCTGCTGTGCATTATCGGCCCTAAAAAAGCGCGAAAAAATGTCTTAAGCAGACGATCGCTTAGTTCTTCACTCGACACGCTCTGGACGGTTTCTGGCTGTCTCATCCATTGCTGTCTGTCGGCTGTCTCTTTATATACAATTTTCAAAGGCTCCAGACTACAGGACGAGGAGCTTGGTTTCGGCTAACATCGTCTTTTTGTTCTTTTGATTGGCCAAAAATTATTATATTTTTCCGGCGTTCCTGTCTTTTTTTTTTTTATAGCGGAAGTTATGCGTGGAGCCTCTCTTATATTGGTAAATTTCTAGTCACAATAACTAGACTCTGAACTAGCAAACTTCCGTTTCGCAGTTGTTCAGTCTTTTCTTCTTCCTATTTTTAGTTGAAAGAGAGAGAGAGAGAGAGAGAGAGAGAGAGAGAAAGAAAGAAAGAAAGAAAGAAAGAAAGAAAGAAAGAAAAAGACATGTTTTTTAAGGGAAGTAAATGTTTTCTTTTAAATTGAATTGTCTTTAATATTTTATTCTCATATTTTATTTTTACACTTGGGCACACCGCATATTTACATGAAAACGTGGAAAACGTTTGATAATATTTTTAAGTTCTATATTTCCGAATGTGATACTTACAAAATCTTACTTGTGTGTGGGGAGGGGGGATGTGTTATCATTCACTAGAATTAAGTTTTTATTATCTTTTTCATAACGCTGACCGTTTCGACTTTATTTTTCTCTTGTTTATTCCAGCCATGGCAAAAGTTCATTTTTCCAACGCAACAGAAGAAGAAGCCCAGTGGATCAAAGCCTACAACAGACTTCAAGGCACAAACCGGCCGGCTTTTCAAATGGACAATGCATGGTTGACTATCAACAGCAGTGTACACTTCGACATCACTATCTTCTCACAAGATACTGACTGCTATAAAGTAAGCGAGATCAATTAATCTGTTAGCTTTTATGTATTCTGTTCGTGAAAAAACTGAGCCTCAGCCTGAAGCCTATTATCGCCGAATTATAAATGGTGCTCGTTTGCTAAGAATCAAGACAGTTTAACAAAATCACTTGCTTTGCAGATCTAACAGGTATTTTCGTATTAAAACGAATCAAAATATTTTGAATATTATTATCGTATAGCGGTTACAACATTACTAGGGTCACTAATTTGTAGATGCGATAATTATGCCAGAGTAAACCGATCTGTAAACATCTGTCTATATCTCTGAGATGAGGTATTATGATTACTTGCATTATTTACATTATTCGGACTGTTATCCTCTTCTTTGCCTATTCACAACGTTTCGGTCGTTGTCCGCCTCAGCCTTCTTCAGGTGATTGGAATATGGAAACGAACCCTTTATTTCTTCCACCGGAGTAGACTTTTCTCAAGGACACTTTGCCAAGTGGATAATTACGTTGGCTAGATTCAGTGACTAGACCCAAAGAGTTGTGAATTCAATACCAGACCACAGCAGTGGTGAACCAAAACTTTTAGAGTTGAGTTAAAGGGAAAAAAAACGAGACATCCGGAAGGGGTATGGCACGTGGAACTAGAACAATCTACTTCGTTGGACGAAATAAAGGGTTCGGTTCGAAATTCCAATCACCTGAAGTAGGCCGGAGCTTACAACGACCGAAACGTTGAGAATAAGGCAAAGAAGATGAGGATAACAGTCCGAATAATATAAATAATGCAAGTAATGATAATGCCTCATCTCAGAGATATAGACAGACATGGAAGACATGGCACGTGGAACTAGAACAACGTAACCCAGTGGACGAAATAAAGGGTTCGGTTCGTAATTCCAATCACCTGAAGAAGGCGGCCGAAACGTTGTGAATATGCCAATGAAGATGAGGATAACAATCCGAATAATGTAAATAATGCAAGCAATCTGTAAATGTTATCTCCCCTTTAATGTAGCCACACTGTTCTTGTCTTACTTCCTGTTTAATTCTGCTACGCGTTTTATTCACCAAAATCCGGATGAAAATGGATCTACTGGTATCTTCCTGTATCTCACCACTGTTGTATATTTCATTTATTATTAAACTCGTCGTAAATATTTATTATTTCTGTAACCTTGTCCATCACGAAAATCGTCTCAGGCTCATAGCATCTTTATTACAATCCCATCTGCTCCGGCTGCTTTGTTCCTCTCTTCATATTGTTCTGTGCCGACTTTATCAAAACGGGTAGCTTTAAATTCTTTGCTTCATATACGACGTTGAATTGGCCGTTTGTTCAGGGTTCTGTTCATAAGTACAAAAGCGTCAAATGACGTCATTTCTTCTTCAATTGCAACTCAGCTCTCTTGAAAAAGTTAACGTAAAACAGAACTTCCGCTTCAACAAAATTCACGTTTTTATTCGCACTTTTCTTCGTCCTTAATGTGATCTCAGTCCGTTTGATTTCGATCTGCCAATTCTCTGCTGATCAGCCGGTGATATAATATTTCAAATGCATGAAAAGCTTGGTCAATATCTTAATTTCTATCCACTATAAAAGAAATTTGGATGCATAACAGTGGAGCAATGGTTAGCAAACTAATATCACATTCCATTAACATTGCACTGAGTGTGATCCCCACCAAGTGTCCTACTTTTGAAATCTTGTGAAAAGCTATATTGAGTTTCGTAAATACCAAACACGAGTCCCGTAACAAATGAGTGTTGAAGATTCACTACTGTATTGCAGCTGAAGTAACAATAGGTGTGTCTAGGGCAAGACAGCCTTATGGAATCAATTACTCTTCAGGCTGGTTTTGAATTTAGAATTGACCTTCTTCTAGACTGAGTGTGTCCTACAAGGTTTAAAGTGCCTAGACGAAGGTTTGAATTAGGAGTTTTCTTTCTCCTTGACTAGTTGCCGTTCTGGGTATGACGATAAAATTCTGTCCAGCAGCAAGGCCTCTGATCAGAATGTTTTGAGGAGCGTGGAACCACCTCTCAATTGCTGGTGTTCCCAGGTCCACCCTGACCCGGGGTAGTAGCACCTGTTAGGGTCCCAGCAAATAGTTAAGCCTGATACTGGGGTCAAAACACTATGAAAATGTTAAAATAGGTTTTAATACCAGAAATACTTTGTAAAAAATTATTACCAGCCATACATTTTTGAGGAAAAAAATATTACCAGCTATACATTTTTGAGAAAACAAAATATTACCAGCAATAAAAATTTTGTCGGTATTAAATAACTCGTTGAGATTGATATGCTGTAAAACAAAACAAACCAAACCAAACCAAACCTTGACTAGTTGACCTGCGAAGACTAAAAAGTCTAGATTTGCCTACCCTATTATTGACAAGGGTTTGAATCTAAGTTTTCTTATTCTTGTTTTCTCTACCAGTCTGCCCTGTTTAGTACATTTTATATTTGCATTATGTGTTCCTTATGTGCCAATATTCTAGAAGAAACTTATTTTCCTGTTTGGGATGGTGTCATTCATTGCTGCATGCGTGGTGTTCCTCTAAGTACGTCCTTAATCTATTTGTCATGAACGCCAGCAATCGAAAAAACGTAATATGTCTTGTTCCCCAATGGATTAAAGCAAACCAAAATTAGTACATATCCCAATTATATATAACGCATTACATCCCACTAATTTTTGCCACTCACTTTAAAATCGACACTCGTATGCTATGAAGTTTAATTTATTCTTTGAGAATATTTGCACTTTTGTACATTTTCGGAAATTCTGTCTTTTTAAAAAATACACTTCCCCATCACATTGAAAATTACTGCACTAATAAAAACCTAATATTAAAATTACTACACTAATAAAAAAAAAGATATCGTAAAACGAAGAAAATATCTAGAAGAATATTAATTAATATCCTTCCATCGAAAAGCACACGCCAGAGCAACTTTTTTCATATTAACAACATTTATAAAGCCCATACTAAAAAATGTATGATCCAGAAATTTGTTGACGTTGTAATCTAAGTTTTTTTATATATTCACTCTCATAATTCCGTCATGTTTACAACACAACAGAAAAAAACGCTGATACACCATTTTCTTCCAACACACACCAAATGACAGCCATTACGCTCAAAATTACATAATAATAATAATAATAATAATAATAATAATAATAATAATAATAATAATAATAATAATAATAATTGAATTCAACCAAGCGGATACCTATATACCCATTCTCACTTCATTATCCGACACAAGATTTTTCCTCAACAATAAAATTTACTCTAAAATTAATAACATACATTTAAACCACAATCAATAAACGCGTTGATTCTATCAGCAAGCACTGCACGCAAAACTAGAAAATTGATATGTACACATACACATAGACTTTCCCATTTCCAAGCCGCTATCCATTACTCCACCGTGCCTCCTCATAGAGAACAGAGTTCGAATTGCAGTCGAATCCATTACATTCACTTACGTGCTAATACCCTTGGGAAAGGTGTGAATCCTCTTCTTCCCCCTCCAGGTATGGGTAAATAGCAGAACAGACTGGGTTCTATAGCCTTGGATGGCAACTAGGCTAGGAGAAGGAAAACTCTGAATTCAAAACCTCCGGAGGGTCGTTTGGGGACCTTGTGGCACTCGGTGCACCAGGTCTCTGCAATCGGCCCTTCAAAAAGTGTGGATGGTCCTGCACGAAACCTTCACCGCAATAATCAAATCTCATATGCTATACATGCGGGTTGGGGACCGCTTGTGAATTCCAAATTCCCATGAAACTCCAATATTGGAGCCGGCTCAACCCACCGCGGGTGAATACCGTTACAAGAACAAGTGAGAGAACTTTCCCATTTCTTCCCACGATTGTCGTCGGGAATGAAGAACATACACTGACACTAGCAGACAGATCCAAAAATGCCCAGAACAATTCGATCCAAAAATGCCCAGAACACTTCGACAGGGTGTAATGTTTAGCAAGCGTGTTTCGTTTAATCAATTAAGACTGAGCAGTGTGTGATCCTCACTTGATTCTCCGTACATGCGTCCTTGTGCCACATCTAAGCCACGCTTAACAAATCACCACGAAAAATGTTCACTACAATTCAGGCACACACACACACACACACACACACACACACACACACACACACACACACGTCACAAGATATAAACACGTGACATCTTCCTGACAAATGAAAACGAATTCGAAAAATACGGAAAAATCTTCTTCAATAACTCATTTCCAAAATAAATTCTGATGAAGCTAAAATACGAGCGAAACATGTTAAACTTATAAACGTTTTCTTATTTGTTGCAAATATAAACCTAGTCTTATTTAGTGAAGAAAATGATCATAAATATGCTACGCTGGATTAAAGAAATAAAGTCTCCCACTCCATACTGATCTTAACCTTTTATTTAAGAAAGACACCGTGAAAACTGAAAGCAAATACATTTTACATTCATTTCAAAGAAATGCACAACCAAGGAGAATACTTTTCGAACAGAAATAGCAACAATTTGCAACAAACACGAGGGACACGTGAAGAATTTCGGACTTTGTAGTGAAAAGATATTTACCATGTTACCTCATAGTCCAGCAGTAACTAAAAATGGTAGTTTCCTTAAACTAAATGGTTATGTGGTGGCAGATTCACATAAAATTACAGCTACATACATGTTTGTATACACACATACACGCACACACACAATGAAAGAAGAAGAAAAAATCAAACTTACATCAATAAAAAAAGTACATAAATTATTTTTAACTTAATATAAAATAACGAAAATGAGAAAATAAGCAGTCAAGAGAAATTTTCATAGAAAATATACGTCCTCCGACATTCAGGCCGGTAAGTACCAAGTGAGAAACCAATGACTTTCTAAAAAAACAAACATTTCTAAAATAATTTCATTCATGTTTGAATAAGTTCTGAAAGTTCCATTAATATCTGACAATTATTTGATTTTTGCAAGAATTTCAAAATTAATGTTTTTCAACCGAAAAAAAAAACGCTAAAAAACTAATGCTAAATATTATGTGATTCCTAACGTAAAAAAAAACAACATTTTTAACAAAAAATTTCGAACGTGCTAGAAAGGATTAAAGAATCTTAAAATAAAATTAAAAGTACTTTGGTCTTTCCCATTATTATTTTGACGATAAAACTTTTTTTATTAAGTCTGGGGCCTTTTTTCATCATGGTATGCTGTTTTTTCGGCGAATTATTGAATATACCAATATTAAAATGATAAATGCATTTTTATAAATATTAATTTAAATATAAGATTTGTATGTTATTTTTTATTTTTATGTGTAATTTTTATATTTTATATGAAGACAATGTTTGTATGGCACATTTACACTTTTCAATTCAATAAATTTTAAATCAATAAATTTATATGGAAATACTAAATATGTATATTTTTACAAGAATTTATATAAATTTATATGATTTGTAAGGCCCATCTGAACTTTTACACAGAAAAATTAACACATGTGAAATGTTGTTTAACTTTTCTATTAGAGTGTTTATTTTTTTCTTTCGTCAATAAGGTACGCCGGGATTAATTATGTCTACTTGATTATTGTCTTTTTGTATTTGCATAACGGCTAATCAAACTGATGATTAAATTTGTTTCCTGTTAGTGCCCTTTGCTCGAAACAGATTTCGCTCCTGGTAAAGAGACCACGACGATCCTGATACCGTCAGTTCGACCAATGGTTGTAAAATTGGCTAAAGTAATGCCAGGGAATCATTTGGAACCATTCTGCAAGTAAGTAGCCAAATTATACGAATCTTTCTATTGATCTTTTTCTCTCTTCTTGCTCTATCCTTTTCTGATATTCTGGTCTCTCTCACATAATAATCAAGTGGATTGCAGTTTGATGAGTTATGTGGCCAAAGGGTGATGTGATCGCAGAAATTGTCTGACAGCCATGTATGAATTCTCCTGCTTGTATGACATGGTGCAAAGTCCTGTTGCCAGATACAGGGCCTTCCAGCAGCCACCCTCTTGACCAAGGGCAACACTACCTCTTCAAGGCACTTGATGTAGGCCTCCGTGTTGAGTCGGAGGCTCTGTGGGAATTGATGTAGGCCTCCGTGTTGAGTCGGAGGCTCTGTGGGAATTGACCTTTTATAATCACCCGAAATAGTAAATCTAAACTTTATAGTCGGGTCGGATTTTGTGCCGAATTTAAAACAAAGTATTTACCATTATAATTCTTTTTTATTTTTTAAATATTTTTTTATAAATTTTGCCTCCTAAGCTCTACAATCTTCGGCACAGGTATGTTGCTTTAAAGAATCCATACTAAATTTTCCTGTACAAAATACAAACACACGGTATATAATTATAATCAGAAAGAGACGGTTTAAATTTCTGGGATAAATAATGAGGAAAATTAGCTTTGGAGAATATAATATCCATAGGACATGTTGAAGACGAAAAGAAGAACAACATGTAACCAACTTTTGTATGGTGATTTTTTACGCATAGATTAGGTGTGGCACAAGGCCGAAATTGTGATGATAAAGTCAAAAGCTACTGCGAACGACAAAATATAGGAAGTGACTTGAAGCAGCAAAAAAAAAAACAGAAAGTTATGGAGAGAAGCATTGTAGGATTTGTTCGATGGCTAAGATAGCTGAATATTCAATACCAAAGTGTAGCCTCATCCAACTAGGAAGATTGGTGAAATTATCTTGGCCTTGTACCAAGCTACATTAAACTTATTAAATCTTTCCACAGACGCATTCCTCTAGCAAAAGTAGCATGTTGACTCGGTCGAGATGTTTTTACAAGATAACTCGAAGACTGTCACTAAATATTTTCTTTACTTACGAGATGTCGGCTCGAAAATCAGGTCTTGCCGCTGGATGTTCCAACCAGGAGACATGTTCGTGACTCAATTAGCAAATTGACACAGCCGACGTATACAAATATGTTTTGAGAGGAACAAAACTTAGTGTCGGGTAGACCCATTTACTAAAGATGATTATTTAAACATTTTCTTTCAAATTTATATAATAAATTTCTTTTGAGAAAACCTATTTTTCATGATCAGATATTTTTAAAATCCCAATGAATTCCATTGTATTTTTGTTTTGTATTTTTTTTTACAGTTGTTAAATTAAATTTTGAGGATTATGAACCAAGCGATTACTTACTTAATGTCCCTCGGGTACCCATCAAGGAACAATACCTTATTATTTACTATCAATGCTACGCTCTTGTGTTAAATCTTTCTATATCTCTTCCAAGTTTATTACACGCTGTATTGTTGACTGCCTTGTAGTAGTAGTATTAACACTACTTCTACTCAATACTCGTTAAATTTGGATATTTTTCTTTTCATTCTTGCCGATATTAATTAAAGTTAATACTTATACAAGGTGTCCATAAAGTTCGTGTGCACTTTTAAAAATTATAACTTTATTTGTATTTGCGATAGAAATAATCTGTAAAAAATGTTATAAAGTTTAATGTACCTAGTTTTAAGTATAGCTGAAATAACTAATGTGATTTCAGGCATTACTGTAAATCAGTTGGCAAATTTTTTCCGTGAACTGCAAAATCGTATTACCCTTTGTATTGCTAATGATGGAGGACATGTGGAAACTTAAATAAAATTTCAATAAAACCTTAAAAAATATAGATTTACTTCTTTCTAATACTTTTTTACAAATTATTTCTATCGCAAATACAAATAAAGTTATAAATTTTTTAAAGTGTACACGAACTTTATGGGAACCCTGTATATCTTAGCGCCAAATGTAACTTGGAAGTATGATTTTTAAACAACGTAAATTATCTTAAAGAGAACTGATAAAAAATAACTTAAAATTGATATTTTCAAAATAACCGTATACGCTAATATTTTTTACTTATATTTATTATCAATCATGGGCGGAAATTTAACCCTTAAAAGGCAGGCGTCATCATTAAATCCTTAAAACCTTAAAATTCGGGCATCATTAATTAAACCCTGAAAAGGCGAGCATGAATTAAACCCTTAAAATTCGGACATCATCAATTAAATCCTTAAAAAACAGGTATCATCAATTAACACTTTAAAGATGGCATCTTTAATTAAATCCTTAAAAGATTGGAATCATCGATTAAACCCTTAAAAAGGCGGGCGCCATCAATTAATGTTTCATTATAGATACATTAAATTCGTGAGGTTACTATTTACTTGGATTCATGGAGTCATGTCATTTCCTGGATCTGCAGTAGATATAACTGACAGGTATTAAATAAATCGACATCTTCTGATGCCTTGCTCTTGACCCCCGTCCTTCTGTATATTCTGTCATTAAAACCCCTCATTACTCTTGCTCTCACTTTTTGTAACCCCCTGCATGCTAATAGCACTCCTGCCTTGCTTGGGGTGAAATGCTTAACTTATATATATATTGGCGCATGGTTTCAACTGTCGTGGATTCGTTTGGCAGCTGAATTCTCGCTAATTAGCGAAGAAACATTCTTGCTTAAATAAGTCCCTATAGGCTACAGATCGCTGCGCGGGAAGAATTATTCTTCACGTACAGATTATCTGATTGGTTGGCATAGACCAATCAGCGAGCGAGCTTTGGGGAGACTTAAGAAAGCTTCTGTGATCCGTTTCTCTCAAAAGTGCACAAAACTTACTACATAAAAATAGAGCTATTACAAAATTGCCGCATTGTTGCGATTTGTAAATTGTCTATAATAACGTAGTGGTGATTAATTAACCAATGAATGCTTGGCGTTGTATGTGATTTGTATTTTTGTATGTATGTATGTATGTTCGTGCATAATAGATCCGCATGACACCTTTACGATTTACCAAATCGGCTTTTTTGTTTCTTGAATAGTCGCATTAAGATTGGTGTGTTGATCGCAATACTTCTTTGCAGTTATTGTTTCACTGGCTAGAAGAAGTTGAAAGTGAATTATTTCTCTGTGTCACTCAAAAAAAAGAATCACTTCGATTGCTTCCATTTTATAACTTTTCCCTAAAAATGGACCCCCCCGCCCAAGAAGTATTCTTTTCATAAAAAGCAAATAAAATAGATCTGAAAATTACATTTTCGTAGAAAATATTCATTTTAATTGAACTCAGAACTTTATGAAGCTAAAAAAAACAGAGAATAAATTACATCCTTGGGTATAACACGATCCCGTATTACAGCCATGCTTATAGAAATTGTTTTAAAAAGTTGTTTATTATCCAATCACATACAACGCCAAGCATTCATTGGTTAATTAATCACCACTATGTTATTATAGACAATTTACAAATCGCAGCTATGCGACAATTTTGTAATCGCTCTATTTTTATGTATTCAGTTTTATGCACTTTTGGGAGAAACGGATCCCAATGTCGTACATATATTTTACTAAAATATTTAATTTTTTATGATATTAAAGAATAGAAATGAACCGGATGTTCAGCCATTATGTGTTTCTTTTCTTAATTTCCGTTTCAAAAACTTGTTTTCGAATTAGAAAAGATGTTAACTAGACATACCCAAATACTATTTATTTAAGGTGTTAATTAGTCTATCAAACTTTTTTGTTTAATATGACTTTATTACATTTCTATATATTAATAAAACATGAAAATAAAATAAAAAAATATTGTCTTTCATCAAGAATGAAGAGAAACAAATATTGCCGGCATATCAAATACCTTTTGTAAACAATTGTTGTCAACACCTGCCGACTTTGTGTTTTATTATCTATTGATAATGTAAGTGTTGAGTGTATTCGCTATTTTGCTGTTTTGGATTAGAGATTTTTTTAGGCTAAGTAAAAATATCTGACGATATCTACTTGTGTATAATACGTCCCCCCACTTTTTTGCTTTGAATTTTTATTCAATTTTTTTGTATTATAGCCAAGAAAATACATTAAAAATAAATTATAATATAAGCAACCGAAAAAGTCTGCTGAAATAAAGAAAAAAATAAGTTATCGAGGTAATTAAATATCAGAGGAAAATTTCTTGGAGTATGAGGGCGTGATGGTTAATACTGGATGTTAATGGATATTAGTCTAGGTTAATTCCAGGTTCAAATTTCTACTAGCACTATGCCATTCTTTTTTTTTTCCATGTTTTAAAAGGATTGCTTCACACCTTTATTATCTTTATTTTAAAAATTAAGCGTAAAAATTTTAGCGTTTTTATGATAAGAAAGTTTCTCTACAGGTCTCTAATTTAAAAACAAAACGTGTGTCTGAGAACTTTCGCACACACTAGATATTAAAAAGATTCATAAATTCCGAATATCTTATCTTAAAAAAAAAATCAGGCTCAGAAAAATATTTTTAAAAAATGCGTTTATCTGCCACTTGATTCCACAAGATCAAAGTATTTTTTCAAATCTATTTAGTCACCTCCCCACGGTGGCAAGATGTGACTCAAGCTTAGTTTAACGGGAGGGGGGAGCATATGCGTATATATAGGCCAAGAACAAAAATTACCAAGACTACTATCATGCAACAATGAGGGAGTTACTTTTTCAGGATTGAAATCAGTGACCAGCCATCCCTCATTACAAAATCCGCGTATTGCCCGAAAGCAGAAACACAGCAAATAACAGAGCATATACTAAGGAACAGTCGAACAGATCTGCCTTGAACAGAGAGGAACCCGGACGAGGCTTTGCTGAGGGGCAAAGTTTCGTCCGGGGAGATACACAGGCACGGATATGTTTATACAGGTTCTAAGAGAACCCTCGGTAAACTCGGCCTTGTGCCGCATACATCCCTCGTGGTGGTGGTGG